GAGCTGCTCCCCCGGCCCCGTCGCGGGGGCCACGAAGAGCCGCTCCTGAACGCCGCAGTCCAGTTTGAGGGCAGCCGGAGGCAGCCCGCGTTCGGCCCCCGCCCCCGAGCAGCCGGGCGGCGTCCGGAAGAGGAGAGGGGGCAGCTGGCCAGCGAGGCGTCTCTGGGCGCCTTTTCAGACCCCCGCCCCCGTGGGGCACGCTCGCTGCTGCTGTCCGTGGCCGAGAAGAGAGAGCGCCGCGTGGCACCAGGCTCTCACGCATCCCACCTTGAGGCCCGGGCCGCTGCAACCCAGGCTTGGGTGGGAGGGGAGCAGCCTGACCTGCCCGCCTTCTGCCATGATTCTCTTGGCATTTTCCTGCTCTTGGCAACAACCTCAAGAGAGGCTTCTCCTCTGAATCTCTTTGGTGCTTCACCTGGTTGGCTGAACACTGGCATGAGGGTGGCAGCGAGGAGAGCCAGGAACTGGTGCCAGCCTGCCACAGCTGTGGGTAGGTGCCCGCCCCAGCCAGGTAGACAAAGCAGGCTGTCCTTTCGAGCTCCTTTAGAAGACCCATTTTGGCATTTGGTTTCATACCTGGGGAGAGCCATGCCAGCTCATGTTTGTTTTTCAGTTGCAGCAGCAGGCACTGCAGCTTGTACAGCTGACTCTGACTTGGTGCCAGGAGGGCATCTGGGGGAGCGTTTGGGGAAAACAGCCCCGCCTCACACCTGCTCTTGGAGAGCCTCCTGCAAAGGTGTCATTGCGCGCCTGTTGCTTGGAGGGAGGTGCTCTTCCTTCTACCAAGAACCCAAACATCATCTCAGCTTTCAGGTGGTGCCATCTGCTTCCAGGCCAGTTACAGCAACGAGGACTGGACAGCTGCCCAGGGAAGGAAAGGAAGATTCTCAGCAAGGCCCCACCAGCTTTTCCTTTGTATTTTGAACCCCAGTTCAGCAACGTATCCCAATTAAAAGCCGGCCGCCCGTCCTCTGATAAGCTCCAAGACAGCCGGACCTGGTCATTTTTAGGAGCCCAAAAGATGAAAGGCGTCCGTCCCCAATGCCTCTCTTTGGCCAGCGTGGCAGAAGAGGTTGCCGGTGCCTTCTCTCCAGCTTTTTCAATTGCACAGGCCAGGTTAGGGGTCCGCCAGTGCCTGGTGGTCTCCCATCCCAGGCACAGCAACGCTCAGCTTTTTCAGATCCTCCAAGGGTGAAGCCGCCTCGTGAGGACAACGCTGAGTTTTGCGCAGAGATCAAGGGAGACATTCTCGGGGGGGGGAGGTCATTGCCTCCTTCCCTGCCTGTTGGGGCTCCCCATCCCATAATCTGCAGCCAAGACAGCTCTGCTGGAGAGAGTCGCTGAAATGTTGCCCACAAGGCTGGCTGTGGGCCCAGAAGCTGTGGGGTGCTCTAGCTTTCACAAAGAGGCCTGAGCTTGGGGCCCCACACTCCCTCCCCACACACAGTTGAACCTCCCAATTGGAAGGGAACAGGCGAAGGACCCCCACACACACACACATACCCTCCCCTCTGCTTACTCTGTCCCAATTCTCTTCCTCCTCAGCCCTTACTCTTCTGTCGCTCGGAGAATCAAGCGTGCTCCTGGCCCGCGATCCACCCCGCGACACCCCTCCCGCCATCACCCTGCTGAGGCAGCTGTGCCAGACCAAGAATAGCTTCCCCCAAATCATAACCTTCCTCGGAAGCCACCGCAGCCCTCGCAGGGTTACTCCTGGACAATGCCTGCTGGCAAGGCTGAGGGCCGGCTTGCCACTCCTTGGCCAGACCAGGCTCCCTTGCGCTGGATCCGGGCATTTGAATGTGGGCAGGGGCGCTTCCCCTGGCTCCCCCCCCGCAAAGTCCCATTGCTCTTTTGAAATAGCCGGTGGGTGAGAAGCATTCCACAGCTGTGCCAGTTGAAGGCGCCCAGGACATCCACCCTGGAGAGACAGTGCTGTGTGAAAAACGGGTCTCCCCTGCCTTGCCTTTCCCCTGAAGTTCCCATGGAGGATGAACCTCGCTCCGCCAGGCTAAAATTCCACACACACACCCCGTCATGGAAGGTCCCCATCCCAGCCCCCCCCCCCCCCC